ACAAAGTGAGTCATTTTATTCTTCAACCTCTCTTAAAATTTATTTCAAGAAAAACTGTTTTAGATTTGCACGACTTGCTAATACCTTTACAAAAAATCAGTATTCGATGTGCTGAATTTTCTGGTTGAAACACAACTCCACTTCATTGCCATATACATACTCATTGTAGATACGAAGAGGGACTAGGTTTCAATGAATCTTCAGAGATAACATTGTTGAGGAGACCATCATTTCGTATGCAAGTGCATGGAGAAGAGATTTGTAGGTTGTTCTCACCAGAAGATGACGGCTGAATCCCGTTGTACTGCAGCCGTTTAGCTTTAATACGACGTTCAGGTTGACGAAGTTTCGAATGAAAATGGGTTTCATCAGCCGTCGTCCTGTTTTAGTGAAATCAACCCACGAATCTCTTCTCTTTGCACTTTCATACCAAATAAAGGTCTCCTCAACATACTCATTTTAGTCGGCTAACTCTGGCTAATCATTGTCTTCAAGTTACTCGTTTGTCCGAGAGGAGCCTTCTAGGTTGACCGCCAAGGTTTCATCTGATCATGGACACTGGAAATCCCGGGACCGTTTTGTCGCTCCTAAGTCAATGCACTAAGAGTGGCCTAGTTGCGCAACTAGATTGAAAGCAGGCTAACGGAAATAAGCCATTTATTAATGTTTTTTTCTTTTTCAAACTTATAGTGTGCGTGAACTTAAACGGAAGATGTGATGGAACAGGATTCAATATTTGCTGTCCCCCGTTCGTATGCGAGTTGGCGAGCCTGAACAACGGGGTCTGTCGTGTCTGTATCAACCGAGGCCTTTTCTGTGTTGAAAATAGAAATTGCTGCTCCGGTCAGTGCCAGCTCTCTCGATGCCTCTGAATGATGGAAGGAGGTCGTTGGCATCTTTTTTGTAACTAAAATAAATGTGCTTTGCATAAACTATTTGGAAAAATATGCACGAATTTTATTTGTACTTCCAGGTTATGCACTCGGTAACCTAATAGCATAGATTTAAAAAGGGTCAGCTGGAGCATTTTTGAGAGTTTGGCTGTTCCTTAGTTTTCGATTCAATCAGACCCTTGAGGCAGATACTTCATAGCATAACATAGAACATTAGCATACTTAATGTATAAATTTGCCTATCCAAATAACTTGTAGCTAATATT